CTCTCTCTCTCTCTCTCTCTCTCTCTCTCTCTCTCTCTCTCTCTCTCACACACACACACACACACACACACACACACACACACACACACACGCACGGACGGCCCCCAGCCCACACCCCCGCGCCAGAACCCCCCCCGACACGTTTGGGGGCAGTCGCGTTCAATGAACACATTCACCTTGTTCAAAACACGTTTGGGGGCCTGCGAGAATGCGTCAAACGTGTTTAGTCACGTTCAATGAACATACGTTCACCGCGTTCAAAACATGAACATGAAACGTGCGTTCATTGAGTGCACAGCGACACAGGTCAGAAAGAGGCCGAACCAGGTAATTACGTCCAGAATCTACCAGCAATCTCATCACAAAAAAATAAAAATAAAAATATTTACAGAGAGCTTTTTGTCTTTTTTTTTTTTTTTTTTACAGGAAACTCAGCTTTTTTTTTTTCCGCATAAAAGGAGAGGCCTGAACTTCCTCAACAAATATCCCCGAAAACAATTAGAGTTGGACCCCACAGGAAAAAGGATGGAAAAACCGTCCGGCCAAAAAAAAAGGGCAAAGAATTTTGGAAAGCTGGAAAGCAGTTTTGCGGGGACCCCACCACGGAGGACCAAATGCGCCGTGAAAACCCTTTGGTCATTTGTTTTGTTTTTGTTTTCTTTATTTTTCCTTTTTTTTTGTGTGGCACTCTTGGTCGCTATTGGCTGCTGCCTCCTTTCCAGGAACGACACACCCTCCCCCCTACCGTCTAGAGTTGGCACAAAATTGCGGCGAGGAATCCTCCCGTGAGACCTTTCCAGACTGCGGACTATGTGAAAACAGAAAACTATGTTTTCCCAAGCCGCAATCTTCGGTCTGTGGGGTCCCGGAAAATGGTTTGCGGGAGAAATTTCACCTTTCCGTGGGCATCTGCTGCAGGCTGTGGGGTCCTGGAAACAGTTTTGCGGCAAAGTTTTTCCTTTCCGTGATGCTGTGGGGTCCAGCTCTTACAGGGACCATTACCCAGCTAAGCTTAGGTGCAGGCGTTGGGATGTCCAGGGAAAGAAATGTCCAAAACAAAACTGTTGCCCGGACAATCCACAACCCCGGAAATAAAAATTCCACAAGGCCTAAGAACCACATCAACTGAAAGGGGCAGAAAGCATCTCAGCACAAGAACATCCCAAGCCTCTTGTTTACAAATCAGATATCTTTTTTCCTTCAATCTATTCGTGGGGAGCAGCACGTGCTGGGAACTGGGCCCAGCGTCCCATATCGTAATTTACATAGAATTTTGAATGTTTGAGATACCGGGGCCATAACCCGGCTTTGGCTAATAAAATTTTGAACGACTCAGAAAATTACTACGACGAACTTCAGAACAAAGGTCTGGCCACAACAAAACACACCACCACAGAGGTCCTACAAATGCTCAAAACCCTGTGGATCCCTCGCAACCCTTCTAAAACTCTCCAGCACTGTCTTACTCCCTGCCAGGCTCTTCCAGGCCTCACACTCCCAGGCCTCACACTCCCACCCTGCTGGGTTACAGGGCAACACGACTCACCCCAGCTCCGACCAGCGTCGTCCCAGCAGCAACCCTTGGTTGTCCCTTGGGATGCCCACCCCAAAGCATCCCCAGATCTCTCTACCAGGCCTCACCCCTGCATCAGCAGGTTACAGGGCAACACCCCAGCACCGGTCAGCGTCGTTCTGGCACCGAACAGCCGCAGATCACTGAGTATATCAGCAATGGAGCCATCTAAGATGAGTTGCTAGGAGTCCCCAGAATCCTAAATCATTGACCCCCCTTGGCAACCATGAACAACCAACCAAACCTTGGATCTTTTTTCCATATTGAAAATTTATGAGAAATTTATGGAAAGATCCTTGAGATACCGGGGTCGTT